TGATTTCATTTTTAAGATAGTGTCTTGAAAATATGAGATGTGAAAACATTCTCAGAGGAGTGTGTATTGAGGAAGGTCATTAAGATTGTGCTAAGAGACCAATTGATTAGAGTATTACAGGTTATGGAGCAGTTTTGAGGGCATGAGTGTGATGAATCACTTCCCTCTCTTCTATCCATCCATCCGTCTCTCCTTCCCTTCCTTCTTTCTTGCTTTTCTTTGATAATAGAAAGAAAGTCAGTGAGCTTGATCGGGACCAAAGTTACTGTGTCTTTCAGTACTGAATAAGGGATTTACCTGCAAGTAAAGGAAGAAATGTCAGAAGAAAGCAGTTTGAAGGTGTAATAAATTTCCAGCCAGATCAGGATCGTATTCTTTGCCTTCTCGGATGTTTACAACCCTTCTGTGAACATGGCCGATTCCGAATCCACTGCCGTAACACATTTGAGAGGAGTTAATATGAATACAGACTGCCTAGGGCCGGTGGACAGGCGGCCTTGTTAAAGTATGAATGTTGCCTGTCTGAATGGTTTTCTGAGCTTTTGTGCAAAGGACTTGGGAAAGAGCTATCCTGATCCTTTATGTACCCACTCTGGGAAAAGACACTGCACCTTGGTGGCTGTCTTCCTTGCAAATACCCTCACTTCTCCAAAGGAGAAAGTAAGACTCTAGAGGCTTTGACCTCACACATCAATGGAAACACCTCCGCTTCCTAGTAAAACACTTGAGTGTTCGCTCATGAAAGAACTGATAATATTTACTTCTTTGTCATGATCTAAGAGACCACATAGTATAAGAACCAAAAGTATTCACAATAGTAGATCCTGGGACCTCAAACCATCAAGATCAGGGTTGTAGTTTTGAAAAGAAAACAGTATCTTGAAGTCAGTTTGGTGAAAAGCGAGTGTGGGAACAAATGCTATGAATCACCATTGTATTTGCTTTTCCATTATCGGGTTTTGTTCATCTATTTCACCAAAAGTTTACTTTGCTTGGTAAATTCACACTTTCATGGTTCCAGAAATGCTTTAAGTTACAAGTGGAATACACGTTTGTTGTCACCCTTTATGTGAGCTCAGGAGAAGTTCTTAAGAAGGTGAATTTAGAATGATATGTGAACATAGAAAGTTAACGTCTCAGACAGATGTTGGTTTTCCTGTCAATAAAGTAGAAATGGTGCTGTCTGTTTCACAATGTTATTGTAGAGTCAAATGCTTGTATTCCTTCTGAAAACTAATTAAATGGATTATCAGTTCTTTTGCACCTGTCAATATTATTACAAGCACTTATCTCTGTAATTCTGTTGAGTTCATTTGCTATTCAGTGATATTTGATAAGGTTAAAGGGTCTTTTTCCTCTTTAATATGAAATGTTTCACACACAAACACAGCACAAACAGACACATATATACATTTATGTATGAAATGCGTGTATATATACACACAAATACATACACATATATTATATAAGATGTTGTATATATTATATATATGGAGAAAGAGAAAGAGGGAGAACAAATATCATAAACTAATTCCACCTCAGCCTTAAAAACATCTCAGATACTCCTGAGGCACAGAACTTTCTACATACTTTGAGAATCTTCATATATGAATTTAAACAATGTAAGAGGGAGAAACAGAGAGAGTCTTACACAGATTCATTAATGTGCTTGATGAAGAAATTTACACACATATCTATGTAGCACAATCCATGTGCATACATTTAATATGCATATATGCTTCTGTATATTTGTTCATTAGATTACACTTGATATTTATCTTACAGTATCCTCTATTATGATGTATTTTAATCTACTTATCAACTGTAAGAAAGGGTTAAAATTTTGAAGATGAATTTTCCTATTGTTTAAATTTTATTTAGTTAAATTCAAAATTGTTACATAAACATTACATTCATACTTTTAGATAATAGGCTATTTTTATTATCATTAAGTATATGTGTGTGCATGTGTATGTGCCTGCATTTGTGTGTGTGTGTGTGTGTGTTTGGTTGTTTTATTGAGATGAGGTCTTGACTTATAACAGATGCTGGCTGTAAACTCATCTTCATCCTTCAGAGTGCAGAGCATAGAGCTGTGAACCCTCTATCTGGCTTAGTAATGCTTTTTGAGTTAAATATTATACTTTATTTTATTTACTCAGGTTTTTTTTTGCTTTTTTACTCTTTCCTTGAAATATCTTTTTTTAAACTGTTATTGCAAGCATTCTGTCTGTCTTTGTGTTTAATGTAAATAACTCACCTCATTAGAAATCACAAATCATGCTATGTTTGAGTCTGTCTTTTCTAAGCTTCATTTAACTAGAATTATAACAATCTCTAGAATTTTAACAATCTGGCATGGACATCTTTGTCTGATACTGATGCTACACTGCATTCTACTTATGATTCCTAATGAGTTCATTATCTCTGCTATCTCCTGCAACAGTCACTAACCATTCTTTCTCTGTAGTCCCGTGTTTTTATTTTTAAATTAAATCTTTTGTCTTTTTTTGAATTTTGTATTTTTCCACCACTGAGTGGAGAAATCATACGTTTTATTTCCAGTATTTTTGTTGGCTGCCTACCTAAAGCGTTTACTTTCACTGTACAACAATTAAAATGAAGTTATTGATCACCAAGCCTCAGTGCCTGCTCCCAAACAGATCCCTATATCAGAGTTATGTTACCTTGTCAAATAGCATCCCTATTTCATTTTACTCTTTATGGACTTTGCACACTTTATTTCCTGCTCCAACACTCATTTTAAACTATGTTGAAAGCATTTTGCCAGGGTTTCATGATTTTATGCAAGTAAATGAGTTTTTTTTCAGAAATTTTGTCATTATCAACTCATTTGTTAAGTATATATGTTTTCCCTCAGTATGGGCAAGGAAAATTATAACTATATTTAAGTATTATACACATCTATATAGAATGCATATTGGTTTTCATAAAGAAGATATTTGCCCTCATTATTGACCAAATTCTCCATCTCTTATATTTACTAATTGGTTGGAGACCAGTATCATATACAGAAATATTAATGATACATTATTAAGAAATATGAAATGACTTATGAATAAACACCTGAAACTCCACAATTTTGCAATAAAAGGAATTTTATCTTAATGGCCAGAACCTCACATGTTACATATTGTACAAATTTTTTTTCTGAGGGCTGGATGTGGGTTTCGGTTTAAAATGTGTACTTAGTATGCACAAGGCCCTGGGTTCAATCTCATGAACCATACATACATATACTAAAAACAGAGCAAAAAGCTAAAATCCTGAGATAAAAGCCTTTTGGATTGATCCAAGTTAAATGTATAGAATTTCCAAGTTTAAATTTTAAAATGTCAGAAGAATTTTGTTTGGAAACTATTATATCTTTACATAAAACAAATCCTAAGTGAAGAATTGAAAGACTGTCCCTTTAATCAAATGTAGCCTACTGTCTCTATTCTCATAAATAAAAGTTTTATCAGAATGTATCCACAGTCATTCATTTAAAGCCTATCTATGGCTCCTTTCCTAACAGAACAGTGGAAGTTACAGCAAATACTCTATTTCATCATAAAGACTAAAATATTTATTGCCTGACCTTTTACTGAAAAGTTTACTAACACCCATACTAAATCATACTCTCTATTATAGAATCAATTTATAAGAAAACTCTTTCTCAGCCTGACTTCTGAAAGGCTTTTGTTTGCTTAGTTGATTTGACATAGTAAGGATTTGATTTAGGGGCTAGATAAGTGTTTATTCTTGATTCCCCTTATGCTGGAATTTATTTCTGTTTATTCAATTGGGGTTATTTATTTTCTTCCATCCCGCACAATCATTCTATTTACTAGAAGGTATTAGACTCCCAGTGCTGTTCTGTACACATCCTTAGAAATAATCGTCATCCCTGATAGTTTCCTACTAACCCAAACTTACATTGATGGCAAAATATGAAATGGTGAATGTAACAAACAATTCATTAGCAAACGGACCAGGTATTTGTACATTCATTAAGTTAAATGCCACATAGATTATTCTTCTATAAAATTAAATTATCTGATTTGTCAATTGGGAATGCTGTCAACACCATAATCAGCTGTGTTATATGGGAGTTTATACATATTCGTTTTAGGTATATGGGAGTTTATACACATTCGCTTTAGGTATATGGGAGTTTGTACACATTCGCTTTAGGTATATGGGAGTTTATACACATTCGCTTTAGGTATGGATTAAATAGAAAAAGCATCAGTTGGAAAGGAGAAAGTAATGATTCAAGTTCGGCTCAAGAGCTGTTAGAGGTTAAAAAGAAACACATAACATGATCAACCCGCAGTCCAGAAGCGCTACTGAGCATGGGCTTGGCTCACCACCTTGTATGTCTGGGGAGTGCAGCTCTCATGGCTCCCTTCTGCGGCCTGCAACATTAACTGCCAGAACTAACAATGTCATCTATGCAGTCTGTGTTTTAGGGAGCATGCAGGGTCAGTCCACCAGCTCAAACACAGAGATGAATTTCATCAACTATTTCCCAGGATGGACTCCTGGTGAGGTGGTCCAAGACTGTTGACTAGGCTTGGTGCAAGACTCTTTATTCTCATTTCTAATGTGGAGAAATCTTTAACCTGGGAAACTCACTGCGGGTTGGAGGATTTTCTTCCAATCGATCTGTGTATAGCAATTTAAGGCTGAAGGACTTGAATTGATGAATTGAGGAATTTGAGTCTTACTGTAAATGTTCTTTTGGGAAAGGGCTTGCCTGAGCAGCTGTGGATGATACACACCAGAGTAGTAAAAGTAGAATCTCTTGTTGAGATCAAGAAAGATCAGGGTTTGTGACCCCCAGGTAGATTGCCTGTTTCAGCGTTGCGGGGAAAGTAGATTTGCATGCACTGCTTTTCCTCACACAGCTTAACTTTAATTCTCTTTAGGAAAAGTTGTTGAGTTGTCTATCTTCCTTCATTTACTTAGTTTATTCTCTCGTCTCTTTTGCCCAGGAGATTGCATCAACAGTTTGAAAGCTATAAGGAACAAGTGAGAAAAATCGGAGAGGAAGCACGGCGGTACCAGGGCGAGCACAAAGATGATGCCCCGACGTGTGGAATCTGTCATAAGACCAAGTTCGCGGACGGATGTGGCCATCTTTGCTCCTATTGTCGCACCAAGTTCTGTGCACGCTGTGGAGGCCGTGTGTCTCTGCGCTCGAACAATGTGAGTGTCCTGTGAACGCACCAGGTGCCCAGGAGATGAACAAAGCCACCGCATTTGCCAGCATGTAATCACTTGCATGGTCTGAGACTAGAGCATGCATGCAATATGCGCAGGAACACATCTTTCTGCGGCTTGTGTTTTATGGTGATGAACATAGCACCGAATAAGATACTTTGCATATGTGGAGCTTTTTAAATGATTCTCATCTCAATCCAAAACAATAACTGTCCAAAGCACTTAATTTTCGAAGGAAATGTGAACTTAGTAACACTAGGATTATAAAATTCTTGAAAGTAGCTATAAGATATTAAGCAACGGCTAGCTACCATAATAGTAATTTAAGTTTTACTATCAAGACAAATGATTAGCACCATGTTCATCTCACAAGAAGTGGTCAGATATCCAAGGAACATATGGAATAGGCCATTTCCATATGCTAGGGTTATAAGATGTATTTATACCTGAAGAAATTTTCCAATTTTGCTCAAATGAGACCACTGTATTTTGCTGTACCATATTTTTACATTAGCACAAACATTTTCTGCTTTAAGATTCTAAACAAAGAATAAACAAATTCTAGTTTATATCTGTCTAGTGGGACAGACCCTAACATTACAATTTGTGAAATTCAAGACCCATATTAGCAAGTATTTCCTCTAGAACACATTTGAGTGTAATGCAGCTCTTACGTTACCCGCACTAGTACTGTAGAATTATTTGTAGAGAAATTCATATTAATTATTGAGATCTGTGGTATAGCATTGAACACTTGTGATGAATTCTGCCTTAAAAACTTACCAGTATTTAGTCCAAGTATGTATTATATTATCTAGCCAGATGTGATATAAACATATTTTAAATCATTAAAACTTTAAGTACTTTTTTTCTATTTTGGAAAAATCAATTAAGATTGAGAAAAAACTTCTCACGTGGCTGTGTATTAATTAGTTGGTCGTCTGAACTTTAGTATGATATTCTAGAATTCCTTCCAGGGGAATTAAGACACTTAATATAATAAGCACATTTTATAGCTTAATGTAAGGCCAGTGTCATCTCTAAACAAGTGTTTCCTTAGCTGTAAAACAGAGGCTAGTGATCAACTTTTATACTTGTTATCAGAGTGAAATGAAAAGAATTTAAGTGAATGTCCCATGTAGAGAGTTCATAAGATATATTGTTAGTCCCTTGTCCAATTTTTAGCATTTGTAAGTATGTCCTCTGGGATGGGTTTTGCAGGTGGGTCCTGGAAGTGATTCCACTACGTACCAGTCTGAACTGTGCTGGCAATGCAGTTAGTGCAGGCCAGCCGCGGGTTAGTGCTGCCTGAGTATCCACAGCTGCTGAAGCTGTTAATGTCCCATCGTAGGGTTGAGGCAAGCCAGCTGCCGCCACACAGCTAATCGCTGGTATATTGAAGTTGTTAGTGTCAAATTCAGGTTGTTTAAAGAAAATTGAGCTAGGAAGTGCTTAAATTCTTTGATACAGATACGGACGCATGTTTTAATTCATCCCTCTTACACTAAAATCACCACAACTTGAAATAAATATTTAAAGAAGTAAAAGAAAGAAGGTACAGCTTAAAATTTGTCTTATGAGTAAGAGCAAAATAGTATTTAAATCTGTTTTCTCTTATGATAAAATATTGAAGTACGTATAAATAAATACTACTTTTACTGTTATGGGATAAGTCATCATGCCTAAAGTACTTGTATTTCTCCTATTTTTATATATGACATTTTATTAGATATTCTTATAAATTTTGTCTCTAACCATTTTCACTGTAATTTTAATAAAATTTTGGCATCGTTCTATGTGTTTAATAAAGTATTTTCAATAATAGGAGGTAGCATGTGGCGAACTAACATTTTTTTTTCTGAAGATTTCCTTTGTTTTTGCTTTGGCGATACTGCTTGCTCTAGGGAAGCATATTGCTGTTGATTGATAACAACTTTGGGATCTTTCGGGCCCAGCCTCCTGAGAGCTAGGATTGCAGATATGTATCAAGATGTCTGACACCAAATAATACTTTAAATGTGGGACTAGTCTGAAATCTAAAACTCAGGAGAGTGGGCTCAGTTCTTGCATCCAGCATGTGCTTTCTGTGTTTTAACACTGAAGAAATGTATTTGTTGCATTGACACCACTCTATTAATGTGAGGCTCATTCTTGTTTCTCTCTCTTTCTTCTCTCCCTGCTCTGCTTCGTTGGATGTTTTCCCAAAGGAGGACAAAGTGGTTAGAATCCATGCTTTCTTTTCTATGCTTTGATATACTGTATTCTTTTTTGTGAACTTGATTAAGTGACAGCTACATATAATTCTGTCAATCACAACATTTCACAACTCGGTTTTACCACTAGCTGGAGGAGCTCATCCCTCGTTTTCATGAAAATGAAACTGAGACGAGCATCCAAGAACCCAACAGAATTTTACATTTGTATATCAAGTTTGGGGAGACTGAATTCATGGAAATAGTGAGATTTTGCTCTAGTTACCAGCCCATTGTCCTTGGCTCCAGGATTTTGATGATTATTCTGATTTAGGAGCAGTAAACTCTAGTAGGCTTTCACTTCAGAATACCTCTTAGGTGTGAAGGCTGGTCATTTGAAACTCCACTGCAGAAGGAGATGAGGTATACACATGTGGTACAGACAAGAGATAAAATGCAAATCAAATATAAGTCAAACCGAAATGATGTTGCTTTTCTAGAGAACATGCGACATTAGAATTGTCAGGCTGAGCCCCATTTTGCCCCCTTTCCTCACCCTTGTACATAACAATTGCTTCTTGAGCCTAGGAGATCACCTTTAACTCTTATTACTGTAGAACTCACAAAGGCTCTTTGTCTTTGGGAAGTGGAGTTCAAGTGGCATTGTCCATCAGCATCACCTCTCTATACTCTGTAAAGCTCCCTCTCCTGTCAATTATAACTTCCTCAGGGCTCATTAATTTATCCCAGTGACAATGAGGCGATTAATATTTTGGATTAAATGTCATTTCAGCTGCCTTTGTTAATATCTTCCGAATGTAAGTGATATACAGCAGTACATGATGAACAAGCTTGACATTTAACTGAACATTAATCTGTATTTTCAAACTTAATGCACATTTCTGGCCATCAATTTTTCCATACAAAAGAAACAAGTTTGAAAATTTATACGACACAGTAGATTTTCACTAATGTTTTGCCTCGGTTATTGGTGTGTGGAATCACTGCTGTAATGAATGATACATCTCATTAAACAAAATAACTGGATAATCAGACACATAGAATTTAATAAATAATATCCCTTTGGACAAGTCAACATTTAAAGTGTAGACTTGAATTACATCAGAGAGTAAAATGGTAAGTTTGTAACAGTCATGTTGTTCAGACTTGATATAAGACCTGGCCAGGAGCATCACCCCTTCAACCGTCTTCCTATGATACCTGGTAGGTTGCTATGGACTTGCTGCGTTTGCTGTGATTGTTGTCTGCGTAAGATAACCAGACAGGCTTTATGGTTGCAATGGAAATACTATAAAATACAGCCACTTAAAACTGTTTTACTCACTTCGATTGGAGAGTATACATTAATTCAGCTGTGTTTAAATTAATCAGTCAACATCACTCTGGACACTTCCAGACCGTGAGGCACTTCAGTGGATCAGTGAGCCAGTCTTAGGATAGCAACACCAGATTTTTGTCCACAGGCATGTGAAGGAGAATAGCTGAGTATTTTTTAAAGATTTGTTTAAGTTTGCGACTGTATATGTGTATGTGCATGTGTGTGTATGCATGCGCACATGTGCAAGAGAGCCAAAAGAAGCCAAAAGAGAGCACCAGATTTCTCTTGGAGCTGTAGTTAAAGAAAGTTGTGAGCTGCTTGATGTGGGTGCGGGGACTGAGCTCAAGTCTGTGTAAGAGCAGAAACTGTTCTTAACTGTTCTTAATTATGTCCAGATAAATGTTAATTATCTTAATTTCCCCATACCTATTTGAGCTATTATTTTAAATATTATCCTTAACCTAAGTCATATGTAATGGTAACTTGAAAAACTGAACTGCGTAAAAGAAAGAGCCTTTATACAGAATGAGGTTGATGTGGGCCTGTGTAATAGCTTATACTGCAAAATGATTTTGTATGCATGTATACTTTCATTGGCAAAATTAATATCATGCCTTTATTTTGTTGAAAAACCAACCCTCTTCCAGAGCTAAAAATTAGTGATGTTATGAAAATTTCCCAGAGCCTATTTAAATGAATTTTATTTTTGTTTTACTCCATTTAGTAGCAGAGAGTGGAATTTGGATCACTCCCTTGATACTCACAGTGTCTGCTGGGGAATCAGTGGAATGATTCATCTGTACTGAGTTCCTTTGTGGTCGCCTCTAAATCTCCATCAGTGTTCTAGTGCGAAATAGTGGGTTATGAATACAGTAAACAAAATGAGCTTGTTCCTTTCTAGTTCGTCCAATTTTCCAAAAACGTGTCAGGCTTTATGTTAAGAATATTTTCCAAAAAATTGGCATTGCTCTGAAAACAGGACCCTATAGTTTTTGGAATTCTGTCAGAATGTAAAAGCATAGATACATATCTTCTAATATATAAAATCACTTACATATTAAGCTCATTATAATTGATACTATATAGCATATATAATTATATGTGTTATATATTATAATAATTAATGAGATGCTATGCTTCGGAGTCACAATTTTTAAAAAAAATTCTTCCTATTAAATTTTCATTTGTATTTATAAAAGTTATGTTAAAGGTTATGTTGATGGAGCAAATGTGCTTTTGTTTTCTGAAATCCTTAAGGTTCACCTCAAAATGGGACAGTAACAACTTAATGTGAAGCTAGCCTTATCAAAAGGTCTCATTTAAAGAATGGGTAATTCTTAAGAGACTAGAAACCCCCCTCACACAGACATGCACATAAGCACTCTGTTATTTAAGTAGAAAATAAACAGCTTCGGAGAATTCCATTTGCTAGAATTAAATGCAAGCAAACTAGAAAATGATAACTATTTTAAAGAAGTGATGTGATTTGCATGATTACATTAAATATTTATTATTGTGAAAAATACACCCAGAGTTGTCCATATTTAGTCCATAGGTGACAAGACAGAGGCTTGTAGTATACAATCTTCACTCATTTGAAGAACGTGATTTTCAAGAATTTACTTGAGATCTCTTTATTTCCTAGAAGCTTTGAATTTTGTGACATTTCTCTTAAATTCATCCCACAAAAAGTACATATATACAGAAGATGTATCAATAAAAATCTTAGGTTATATGAAACGAGAATTTATGCAAGTCAGTTGGTTTGAGTTCTCAAGTTTTGTCTGGTTTTATTGAAGTTATCCTAAAGATAAAAGAATACATACATTGCAAATATTCGTCTATAAGAGGTTTCAGAATGCAGTAATTTTGCGTCTGTCTATGCTTGTATCTAAACACGCATGTGTATACATTTGTTTGTATGTGCATGTAGAGTCCAGAGGTCAACACTGGATGTCTTTCTCAGTTGCCCCTTTGTTTTATTTTAGTTTTGACAGTATCTCCCTCTGTAGTTCTGGCTGCTTGGAACTCTATACCAGACTGGCCTGGAACTCACAGAGACCTGTTTGACTCTCCCTCCCAAATGCTAATGCTGAGATTTAAGTTGTGTGTCACAATACCTGGCCCCAATTTCCTTTTTGAGGTGCAATCTCTATCATATTAGATCCGATTCTGCTAGACTACATAGCCAGCAAGTCTGAAGGATCCACTTGTGTGTATATTAGGAAGAGGATTACAGCCACAGGCCACCACCCCTGGCTGTGTAGCTCCCTATGTTTTCGTGGTAAGGATTTTACTGAAGGAACTCGCTCTCCAGTTCCAGGTGTCTACTTCTTATACAAATATGTTTTAAGACTTTGACTCACTAGAGGCTTCAATATAGCTCAGAAGTTAAGAATACTGGCTGTTCTTCCAGAGAAAGTGGGTTCAATCCCATCACCGGCCTTATTGGCTCCCAACTGTCTGGAGCTACAGTTCCAAGGGACATATCGCCCTCTTCTGGTCTCTGTGGGCACGAGACATATTCATGATAAAAATTAATTAGTTCGGTTACTGTTTTTTAGTTTTTAGTAGTTCACACTCAATACCACTATTCTGGAAATGTTTGATGGTATTCAAAAGCATTAGAGAGTTTATTGGCTTGCTTTCTCTCTTCATTAATTTGTCTTTCATTGCTTTCAAAGTGTGCTTCAAAGAATTATAAAAATCCATGGTAAGACTAGCAAAGCTATACCAGGCTGTAGAAAATGAAAACTTTCTAGTATAAAGAAAGGAATTTTAACAATTTTCACAGATCTAAAAACTAAGCTGGAAAAATTACTGAATTTTCTCTTATGATGTTGCCAAATCCCTGTTTATATACGTAGTTGTAGGATTTCTGGGTCTTAAAATAACTCCACATTTTACTTCTCGAGAAGTTCCAAAACTGTTTCCCAGAGAAGAAAGTCGTCACTTTCTTCAGTTTTGGTCACTGTTGTCATTATGTCACTGTTGTTCTCGCTCTTGTTCTTCCTCCCTCTTTCCTTCTCGACACCTCTCCCCTGGTGTGGGGTGTGTGTGTGTGTGTGTGTGTGTGTGTGTGTGTGTGTATTTTTGGTTATACCTCCATGTGGAGGGTAGAGATCAACTTCAAGGATACTTCAAGAGATGAACAACTTGTATTTCAAAATGTCTCTCACTGGGGTCTTGCCCATTATTCTAGGCTGGCTGGCCAGTCACCCTGGGCATCAGTTTAGTTGAGACGCCAGAGGACACCATGACTGATATTTTTATGGGGATTTTCAGTTCGAGTGCCTTCATGCTCCTGTGATAGACACTATAGTGACCGAACCATATCCTCAGAGCCCTGGTTTATTTTTTATTATTTTTTTAAATTAATAATATCATGTATGAAGTGAAATTATATCTCATTTTTGTTTTCATAAATCTATTTAACCATAGATACATTAGTTTGATAGCCGCAATAGTTCAATTTGATAGAGGTATAATTTTCTGCTAATATGTTTCTGAGTTAAAACTTCCTTGGGCACATTCTTTTCAAAAGGCTGACATATTCGCTGCACTGGGGATTGGTTTCTTAGTCAGTGGTGTCAGGCACCTGTTATCCTGGCACCTAAGGGCTGAAGCAGGAGGACTGTGACTGAAGCAACAGCTTTGGCTCTGTTGAGTTTGATGCTGTCCTGAGCTG